GTCCAGAATTCTGCGAAAAATGTCAGATATTTTTGGATCTCTTCTGGGAGTGAATTCCGTAATCTGCGGCACACTACATCTGCATATTGGTAGTATATATTTTAGTTGTAATTTATTGTAATATTTGTTGTAATTTCATGAAAGGTATGCACATTGATAAGAGGCCGCAGTCTCCCATCAATTGTTATTGCTTCAAGCCATTAGTATCGCTAAAAGGCTGCGATTTACTTTGCTATTTGAATCCGTATCATTTTGTCAATAGCTTCTTTGCAATGCAAAATCTTTTATCGTAGACCATATGGAAGAATTTCTCCATTTGGGGGTCTCTAAGAAAATAGTAATACATAGTATCTAAAAATGTTTTGATACGCTTTCCTTATAAAACCGGCACATTTTTCAGAGACCAGCAGAGTGGTGCAGCCAACTCCTCCCATAGCCAACGGAACACCCGCATCAGGGCAACATTTTTTTCGTGGAGAATTACAGAACGAGCCATCACGGTACGCCAAGCATTGCGAGATCCGTCACAATGGTGGCTCCATATCAACGTGGCTTAATGGAGGTTCTGCTGTATAGACTGTAAAAGATGTGATTCCGGACATACAGTACCTTGAAGTCTACAAACTAAGTTGCCTCTGTGGTAGTAGTTACATTGGAGAAACCAAACGACATGTCTCGGACCGCATTCGTGAACACAAAGCAGACCTTAAACTCGGTAGGACCAACACCTCGGTCGTGGCAGATCATTGTTATAATTCAGTAGGCTCACATGACATTGACTTATCCAAGACAGAGGTTCTTTGTAAGCCATCTGGCTACCATGAGAGATTCGTTCATGAGGCTATCCACATATACAAGCACAGAGACAATTTCAACCGAGAAGATGGATTCTGGCTTAGCAATCATTGGAAGGATGTGATAAACCATTTCAGGTCTTAATTCATTGTTCACGCTTACAGTGGCTTTCAGACAGCATACATTCATTGTTCGTCTCCCCCCTCCTCTTTTCAGAACATAGATGGACTCGTCCTTCTAAATAAACTGCCAAATCGCTGCGCGTGGCGCTGACGTTTTTTTTATAAATAAATAAATACACAGTTTAAAATAAATAAGTTAATGCGGACCACCACTTCCTTCAAATGTTTCTTGCCGTTGGTTTTTTCACACCTGATGACGACCGTTTGTGTTATGGTCGAAACGTCGTGAGAATTTGTATTGTTTTATATATATTTTATTATTTTATTGTTTCCCTTCAACGTGACTTTACCGAAAGAGCTAAGAATATAGACAATGACATGTTGTGGAAATAACATTGTGCCTCAAATCCTGATGGGCCTGGTTTTCATTCCTGACCAGCAGTGATAACTGGGTTCTAAACCTAGTCTTGTCCTATCCTGAGTCTTGGCCTATCTTAAGTTTACTTATCATATTGGTAAGTCAATGTTATCATTACCTATGACTTAAGCAACACATAAAGACAATTTAATAGATAAAGGCTGCAAGAAAAAAACTCAAAATAATGATGCTCTGTCGTATGTACCTCACCATAAGGAGTTCAGCAATGCATATATATGAAGACCTATTTTTATTTTTTCAATACACCATGTCATTGCAGTGATACTTTCTCATCTGAATGAAGGCTCTTCATTTGTTTTTTGAATAAAAGTTCCATTGTTTAAAAAACATATATTTATATTCCGTGTTGTATTTTGCACATACAAATGCGGTTGCTGTTTGTGCTCAGAATATTTAAATACTCATTGGTTTTTTCGTTAAAGTCACGTATGTAGAAAATTATATTAAAATAATAATAAATCACGACGTTTCGAATGCAACACAAGCGATCATCATCAGGTGTAAAACAAATTGTGTTGCGTTCGAAACGTCGTGATTTATTATTATTTTAATATAATTTTCTACATACGTGGCTTTACCGAAAAAAAACCAATGGGTATAGTAATTTATGCAGTCACGAAAAGCTTCAATTCTATATTAATCCACCTCTACGGGGAGGTTACCTTTACGATTCTGTCCTTAACTTGTTGCCCTGTGTTGTCTTGCCTTCGTATGTATCTCTACGTGCTTCAATGTGCTCTGTTTTCTGTTCGCCGTGGTCTGTGTCTCTGTTTCACTTTCCTCCTCCGTTGCTGTCCTCGATGTTACGCATCCATCGCACTCCGCGTGTGTTCCCATCGTCTTCAACCCCTCCCCCCACCTCTGTAGCTTATTTCAGCACCGTTGCTGCCCGGGTTGTTTGCTCATCCATGTGCTCTCTCTCTCTCTGCGTAGGTTCCCATTGTCTTCAACCCCTCCCCCACCTCTGCAGCTTATTTAAGTCTCTGTCCGTCATCCCTCCAGTCCTTTTTGTCTCTTGGTGTGGTGTTACTCTGGTTGTCCATCTGTGCTGCCCAATATATCTTTCCTTGGATGTTCTTCCCTATGTATGTGTGTCTCTGCTACCTTGTACCTCGTATTTGTTCACTCTGTCTATGCTGGTTTGTTCAACCCAGAGGATGAACACGAAATTTAGCAGTCTTCTGAAATTTGTGGTTAGCCAGGTCAGTGTCTAACTGTGTTGTTGGCCAACTGGTTTTGCATCACGTTATTTTTTTAGGTTTGTTGAGTTCTCGTCTCTCATCTTCTTGTTGTATTTGCCTCCGTACAGTTTAACGTTCTCTATGTGCTATGTACGTGATGTCCCCCTATGTGCTCCCTCACGATTTGTTTTACACCTGATGATGATCGCTTGTGTTGCGTTCGAAACGTCGTGATTTATTATTATTTTAATATAATTTTCTACATACGTGACTTTACCGAAAAAAAACAATGAGTATAGTAATTTATGCAGTCACGAAAGCTTCAATTCTATATTCATATTTAAATAGTTTTCATTGCATAGTCTGCAGCAATATCACATAAGTGTAGTGCAGTGTGACATTTAAATGCTGTTTATTCTGTGTGATTCAAAAGCTTTCACGAGCAAAGCTTTTTACTCTCCTGCAAAATTGAGTTCAAAGTCAGCTGAAAGAAGGGGTGAGGGATAGGAAAATTCAATCCATTATGCTCAGGTGGCTGCTGTAGAACACACGGATCTGTATACCAGCATTCTTGATGCTTGATTTAGCACTCTCGGCAATGAATGGCTTACTGAGTCATAGAAACTCAACTGACTTGTTCTGGTTGAATAGCAGGGTGTCGTTAAGATTTGAGGTTAAATGCACACTGGGTGAGCATGTGATTGAGAGGAAAATTGTGTGTGCGAGGATAGCTCAATTTTCACACATATAGAAAAACTTTGTGTGCAGCTATGTGTGTGAATGGGTGATGTGGCCTTGTACAAGTGCATTAGCCGCTTACTGCAGAGGTTCACGGTTCGAATTCAGTGGGCCACCCTGGTTATTTACTGCCGGTGCAGTAGCTATGTTCCTGTGCACCGTCTGGTTCACAGTGGACGTTAAAGTTCCCTTGACGCTCTTCGCAAAAGCAGGTCACTGGTTGCCAATGTTGGGGTCCAAATTTTCCATTTTCGAAATGTTCCCCTAAAATATTCCATTGGGATTATATGCATTGCAATCATCGACCCTGACTGCCAGACTGAATGCATATTCTCGCAAGCCATGTACTGAGTCACTTTATGCCCATAGGGACAATTGCCACTGGGGGTGCCCTTTCAAATGCTTGAGATGGGATGTAATGTAAAGCGCTTAGCATGTGTAAAGTGACCTGAGATGATTCTAGATTTGAAGCTTTCGTGACTGCAAGGATCCATACTCTTTGCTTCTATTCGGTAAAGTCACGTAGGTAAAAAATAAAATAACAAAAATCACGACGTTTCGGCCACAACACAAGTGGCCTTCATCAGGTGAAGGGACCTGAGATGCCCTGCAATCTCAAAATTACGATAATTATTCATGGAATACAAACGTTTATTAACTTGTTGTAATGAACAAGAATATAGTAATCAATTTAATGTTTTGCCTTGGTAGACTGTGGCTCAAAACAAAAGTTGTTTCGACAAATATCAATTTAGAATACACTTTTTTTTAAAGTATCATATTACGTTATGAATAAAATACAATGCTTAAAGAAAACACAAAATATAGAAAGAGGAGTCAAATATTAAACTTGGGTCTCCTGTGTTCCTTAAACTCTCACAATATGGTAAGTCTGGCTGACCATGAAGAGCAAAGGTGAAAAAAACCTTCTCTGATATTGAGTTAAGATCTACTCTAGGTGGAAGCCTATAAGACAAACTATTGAGGTAGGAATAATCACTGTAGAACACATGTGGTTAAAGTATAAAAAAACAGATAAACATATGTTCTAAATATCTGACTATGACCAAACACACGTTGGTATGTTTTCCATATGAAGTCGACACATCTGGGATACCCTGGCTCTAAAGTAGATGTGAATTTGACCCTATGTGTTTTGTAAAATATATACTGTAAATTAATTTAAACTGTGAAAGACTTAATGGATAGGTTTAAAGGGGAGGCCACCTCCATCAGTTTCAAGACACTATTCCAGGTAATACGCGTGTATACTTCTGTGGAAATGAAGACCAGTAAGCGATGGATGTCCTGGGGCCTAGCCAACATGACCTTGAATAGGCCAAACATTAAATGTATCTGAGTCCCCGTGCCTCCATATGCAAATACAAGCAGGGTCTAACCATTTGAAGTTGGCTCTCACAATATAATACGCCCGAAAATATAAGAACGCCATACCTCCTTGAGCTCTAGAATTGATCAAATTAAAAAACTTGATTGAGGGGAGCTTATGTTACCGTATGATAGAGGAAACCTTGGAGTTTGGCTACCCCAAAAAGTTAATGTAGTTTAGTATGGGTTACTTCATGCTTGAATACACATTGTCCATGCTAGAGTCAGGCAATAACATCACACAACTGCAAACATTACCATCTAAAAGCCAGACCTGTAATGTGTCAAGTATCACGTGTGTTTGATAAATTGTTATTGTTGTGCTTTAATTCACAGAGGCCTGCTGCTCCAGGAGGAGAATAGACTTAATGAAGCATTGTACTACTACAAGCTGGCCATCGGTGCCCGGCCAACATTGGCCTGTAAGTCTTTGTGGTTCTGCACTATAATAACAATGTGGATTTACATAGTGTGTGAATAAATAGGCGTCTCTAGGCAAGACCATGGTTTATTTTACATATATATAACATGTACACTAGCAGAATACTTGGACAACATTCTAGCAAGGCATGGATTCAGCAAAGACGGGAATGGCTCTGTGTGTCACAGTCAAGGTTCTGCATTACCAAGGCATGCATGGCTCTGTGTGTCACAGTCAAGGTTCTGCATTACCAAGGCATGCATGGCTCCTGAACCGTAGAGTAGCGCAGAATGGCTGCATATATCAGGGATATAGAGCCGGAGCAAGACATGATGCTGCTGCTCTTTCCCCCCCATGCCCAACTTACCCCCCTCCTCCCCACCATTCTGCTGCTGTCGTCCTGGCATCTCTCCCCATCACAGATCCGGTGCCACTGCTTGCTTCATTTGTAACAATTTGGTTACTCAGAAGGGACGCCCGGGAAGGCCACCCCCTCTCTCACACACGCCGCTCTTGCTACTGTGGCACTGTGTGAACATGCGTACCGGCCCACAGTTGTACACATCAACACAGTGCAATTCGGATTCATGAAGTCGAAAGAGACGTTGCACAGCAGGTGGGGAGAATGGGCAAACAGAGAGTGCATGGCAGAGAAAAAAAGAGAGTGGGAATCAGCGGAGGAAGAACACGGGGCATGGATGCAGTCAAAGGCGGACGATAAAAGAACGATTGTTCGCCTGGACTTCATTCGGGTGAAGGGTGGGGAAAGGTGTCAGAAGTTTGTGGGCGGGTCGCGGGGCATTAAAAGTAGTGGAGGCAGCAGAGGAGAAGGAGCAACATCCCATTTGGGAAGGGGCTGTGCAGGAATTCGACAAAGGCAAAAAGTTGCTGGAATTGAAGGGCAGAACAGGTACCCCACCAGGGCCTGGCATGGTTAGGGTGCGTGGTTTAGCTTGGGCTAGGTATAGGGGATACCCAGTCTATGGATTGTTATGCAGGGCATCGGAAAGAATGAAACTAAATGTTTGACAAAGGAGCTTATAAAGATGAAAGGAATACAAAACGTTATCGTGTTCGAAAAGATACTTACCTAATCGCCATGTAACATTCCAGTTTTTGATTCTAACCGAATAATTTAGGCATAATGTAGCTAGACAGGTTTAAAGGGGAAGCCAGCTCCATCATTAACCTCCTACACTAGTTTTCAATACACATTATTATTATTATTATTGCACAAATAGAAAAGGTTGTCTTTTGTATTTTGAACTTTTACACCACTGTGCTCGAGACTGGGTAGCTGGGCGTATTTCCGTGGGGTCTCGGCGGTCCATTGATCGATAAGAAGACCCTCGCATTAACCCAAGCATTGATGCTGTACCCTGGATTCCATAGGGGAGCCCCTCACACCCATGTGGCTTCAGGGCTAAATATAGTAATTTTACAAAGCTTGCCAGTGGATGAACAAGCATGGCCAATTGACAACATTAACTGTGCTTCATGCACACACTGCAGTGCTTTGTCCTTGCTGAAGTGGAGCGTTTGTCAGGAAAGCTACTCCCGAGACGAGGGAAACTGAGGTATAAATGGTAGAAAATCCACTTATATTTCCATGTTGTGCATGGATAGGATTGAACAACTATCGGAGTGACTGCCCCAATACAATCATGTAAGTGCTTTTCAGCCTGCAGCCTTCCATTGCTTCTGCAAGCAACTAGCAATGTGTCCTAAGTGTATCGTGTCTGTTGAATGTAAACCAACTTTAAAGCTCCACCGCCATTGTGCTGGCTGTTGACTTGAATGTGTACTGGCTCGCATACGTATGCCTTATTTTGATAACGTGTTGGCTTTCCGCACACTCGCGTATCTGCTTTCATCCATATGCCTCTAAGATGTGCGATGCAACTCACTTGAATGTTCCATAACGTCCTTCCTCTTTAATGTGGCATCCCTGAAGAATGTCATGGCTCGTCTTTTAAGGTCGTTCGCTGTAGCATTTGTTCTTTGTTTTTACATAAATCATGATTCCCTCTTGCTCGTCTGAAGTGCTGTGCTCGCAAGCATGACAATGAAATTAACTGTATCGGTCACAACAGGGGGCTTTGTTGAGAAGTGAAATGGGGATAATTGCCCAAGGCAATGCGAAAGGTTTTGTACACGGCAGGAGTATAGATGATGATTACTCTCTTTACAAGAAAAAATGACGGTGAGTATTTTAAAATGAAACCCACATATCATCGCAATGGCAGATGGCACATCCGACTCCTTTTTGTGTGTGCCGTGTTTCTGGCCATTTGGCTGCCACAAGAAGTCTGTGAGTCAGTGCGAGTGGGGTATGAACATCAATGAGTTAAGTTTGATTCCTGCCTAAGGCTAACATTTATTGATGAGTGGTTTTAGTCCCAGGCCTGCCCTAGGTCAACTCAGCCTAGTGCCTGGTGCGATGTGTAAATATCAACACTGAGGAGACAAAGGTGACTGGGGTTAGTTCTGGCTAAGCCAACCAACGAATTCCAATCTGGCTTTAATAGGTTATCACTAACAACACCTGCCCTCACAGTTTATGTAGGCTATACAGGGGACATTGGTCTTTTGTATACGTGTGTGTAGGGATGTGTGTCGGTTTGTGTAACGCTGTGAGTATATGTGTGTAAGTTTTTGGCTGTATTTATGTGGGGGGGGGGGGGGAGCGGTGGTGTGCTGTGCTGCGAGCCCGGCGACCCGCGCTCGATTCACTCTCACGGCAAACACCAGTGACGATTATCCAAACCAGTCCTGAGCCTCCCCTAGCTCGACTTAACCGCAGTCTGTAAACATCATCACTGGAGAGACAAAGGCGGCCGGACTTGGTGCTGGTAATTCAACCCCCTGTGTGCTCCATTGGCCTTCACGGGTGCTCGCTAAGCGCACCTTTCCCAACAGTCTGTTCAAGCTCTACGGGGGAATCTTTATCGGTTGTGCATATAAGTTCCCACGAGGATTAGTGGTGGTGCATTGGATTGAGCATTGTGCTACAAAACCATGACCGCGCACAAAGCCGGTGGCAAGCGGTGTCTGAACCTCCCCGAGGTTGACTGCAGAACCGCAGAGATGTAGGCGGACGCGTTTGCTGCTGAAGACATCAACCTGAACGGGGATCGTCTCTGGCCGTGTGTGTGTGCGCATTGACTTGACGGCGATGGTGGCTGTGGGCCCTCCAGCGGCGTACCTCAACACGGGCATCGTGCTGGTGAGCCAAGGCAAGGCGAGCGAGGCTCAGATCGTGTTCCGCGCCTGCGCCGACATCCCCGACGAGCGCCTCAAGGACCCGCAGGCCCACATGACGTCGGTGGCGAGCTGCCTCTACAACCTGGGCAAGGTGCTGCACGAGCAGGACCTTCACCAGGTACGCAAGGGCGGCTGCGCGCCAGGAGGCTTTCTCCCCCGAGGCCTGCGTGCCACGTGCTTCCAACTGCGCCTTTGACCGAGTTGAGAGAACGCGACGGTGATTTTTTTTTTTTCCCACTAAATGGGGCTGTGTGCATAGATGGTGTCTGTATGTGCCGCCGCCCATGTTACAGGCTGCCGTGGGGCCACGTTGAGTTTGGGAGCAGAGGGCTCTGCAGAAAAAAAAAAACATTCGTGTACTGGACGTCTATGCTCCCACATCTATGCTCCCCACCCTGACCAGTGTGGTGAAGTATGGTTAAATAGCCCCCATAACCAACAGTGAGGGGACACCCCCATTCAACAGTGGGTTGACAAAGGGCCTGGCCATGTGCTTGTTTATGAATATATTGAAAGAGGCAGAAATAAAAAGTACAAAAAAAATTCCTCAACTTTGTCATTAACAACGTCTCATAATACATATATATGAACAAAAATAAAATACGTGTAAGCTAACACATATGCCGATCTATGGTGTGTGGCTGCTATACATTTTTGTTTGTTACAGGGCAGCATTAATAACAGGCGTTTCTAATGTTTTGTGAACGTGTGCTAATGCACCACTGCCAACACATTCTGTAAAATTTTATTTTAACTTTGATCAAAACACTCCAAGCTTCTTATGAAGGTGACCCCCGAGTGAACCCCAAGGCTCCTGAGAAATTAGGTGTGTGCTTTCCTGTCTTTTTACTGCAAATGTCTCGTTTTCTTGCTGTGAAATTGTGTCATGCTTTGTTTTTAACGAAACTCACATTGAAAGCTGTAGGAAACTTGTACGTGACTGTCTGCAACTTTGTAGACATTCGTAAGTGGTTTCCAACTGCCACGCTGTGAAGTATCAAATACAGTACAACGATAAGTAATTTCGCCACCTTTCCATCTTCGCTCTCTTATGAAGAAGAAACATTTCTGTAAATACCTAACTCAACGTAATCACGAGCGTCATTGTGGAGAAGATAAGCAACCAAATAAATAAGCACACAATGCCTCCTTTACATATCCGTCTCTAAATAAAATATTAAAATATTTCTTACAAAATCCATCAGCTGTGCACGGCCTTCTGGGAGTGCATAATTTCAGCAGCATGTTTCAAGACAAGCAAACTCTGGAACAGTGTCAACACAATGTCTCATCAACAGTCGGGCTTGCATGAATCATTGCTGGAGAACTCTCAATCTTACAGGAAACGACCCCTTACTTTTTATGCTATGAGATCCTAGTTTGACGCAAAATGATAATAAACATAACTCAAAATAATTAGCATTCTTGTGGAGAATATAAATAGTAAAATAAATGAAGAATGCCTCTTTCATATATCAATCTCTCCATATCAAAATGAAAGTATTTCTTACACTACCCAAATTCTGGAATCTGCCTGGCTTAAATAATTGCTGATGAAATTGTGCACTGCCAGAAGGACCATACAGTTGATGGGGTGTATAATATATATTTTGGGTTAAGTGGAGAAATATACATAAACCGAGAATGTGGAGGTAATAAAGCATTGTGTGTATTTAGCTCGTGATGTGCATTAAGTGAATGAGGTCAATATATCTATTGCATTAGCAGGACAGGTTTATCGTTCATTACATTACATAAAGCACTTCAGAAGAACAGAGAGAAGAATTTGAGTATAAATCGATGGGTGTTTTTTTAAAAGTGTATAACTTTACAGGTTAAGGGACTGAACTCTAACAAAGTAATTGTAAACAAATATCCCGATCTTAGGATATAAAACTAAACCATTTTTTTATTTTTCCAGGTAAGGCCCACTGAGCTATATAGCTCTCTTTCAGAAGTGGCCTGGCCACAAATGATAGCTCAATGAAATGGTTTATCATGTGCACATTTATAGCAACCAAATACTCTAAACATGTGAGAAAAAAACCGGAGGACCTGGAGAAAAATCCACACAACCACAGGTAGAACATGCCAACTCAAAATATACAGGCGTCAGGGTTGGGATTGAACCCACGACATCCTCCATACTTTCTCACATTCAGAGGATTCTCTGAATACCATGGCAGGGTAGGGTGAACGTGTAATTTAGGAATACATCATAGCAAGGAAGTGTCGTAGATGGAACGTGAGGTTGTGATGCATGGGGAAAATGTCCAGGACAGAAGAGGGAAGGTTTCTGAGAAGGGCATTGGATTGGCACCCAGAGATCGTTGACTGAACCGAAGACCTACACTCATATGGTGGGAACATAAACATCATATCTTGGAGGACAGATGTCTATAGCAGCTGTGGGATCAAGGAAAATTATGGGAATAATGGCAATAGAATAAAAAAAACATTGGAAACGATGGCCTCTAGGCCTTGACTTTTCTGGTAAATATGTTTTAGTATTACCATCTTGGCACAAAGTAAATATTTCCTGTATCAAACTATCTCCATCATCTAAAACACTTAGCAATGGTGAAGCAATCAAATTATATGCTTGGACCAACAGGCAGCTTCCGGTGTAATATATATCGTACATTTCATTGGCCATAATAATATTAAGTACTGGATTATTCAATTGCGGCTCCTCCAATTATATATATTTATGCATATGTGTTTCCTTGTCTTGCAACATCAAATAATTTACTGCACTGGTCCTGTTCCGTAATGTGGGTAAATTAAATGTAAACAGAAGAAATCATGCATGGAGTTGTTTTCGTTAATAAGGCACCATCTACACTTATTCATGGACTCCCTCTGGACACACCATAGGTTAACGTGACCTGCACTCTGTTTCTAAAGCAAGGACATTTGGACTAAATAACAATTTTTATAGACGTGAGTAAAAAAAACATAATCACATTTCACTTTGAAGAATGCAGGCAAAGTGGAAGACAGTGGGTAATTTGGATTATTTTTCAAATGGATGATCTTTGATTTTGGATGCCCTTTCCTTGCCTTTATGTTTCAAACATTCGCACTGAATGTTCCAAGGCAACACATATCAGCCAATACATGAAGATTTTGCAGCATTTACAACTAAAATGGGTGGGCTTTGTAAGCATTGTGATTGATCCAAACGCAGTGTGGGATTTTATTTTATTTTGCCCTTTATGAGGCTCAATAAAAATATTGACGGTACAATTCAACAGACATTTTTAAAGAGTATACAATGACTGTAAATGGTGGTGGTGCTTAATAGTCTATAGAGACACGAGGCAATGGAGACTTGTCATCTGTATGGAGAAGACCAGTTATTGAGTCATCGTGGACTTTTGGAAAGGGCAGTGAGCTACAAGAACAAAACAATACTTTCAATGGATTTGATCAGTAAAATGAATGTACTAATATGTTTGGAGAAGACGTATGGTTCAGAAACATGGCTCCTGACAAAGAAATTGTCAAAAAAACTGAAAACATGCAAAACGGAGGCTGGTGAGATTCGTGCTTGGAATTCCACTCTGAGACAGAAACAGGATCCCTTGAATCAGAGAACAAATGCAAATTAGAAACGTCATGTTGGCTATTAAGGAAAGCAAGTGAGTTTGGGCTGATGGACAAGACTCACGGAAAGGCAACCCAAAGAAAGAGCATGCTGGAGAGGGACCACCATGGAGTCGGAATCAGCTCAAGTACAGCAGTGAAATGGATTGTGGAATTGCAAGGATGGTAATGGCTTGAGGGTTTCATCCAGCAGTGTATATACTATAGATGATGATGATGACAGTCATCACTTAAATAATAAAGTAATGAAAAATAAACTACTTTATGGTAAACTATGGTACTCTTTGGTTCTTTCGGTAAAGTCACGTAAAGTCACTCTACAGTGAGGGAAAAAGTATTTGATCCCCTATTGATTTTGTACGTTTGCCCACTGACAAAGAAATGATCAGTCTATAATTTTAATGGTAGGTTTATTTGAACAGTGAGAGACAGAATAACAACAAAAAAATCCAGAAAAACGCATGTCAAAAATGTTATAAATTGATTTCATTTTAATGAGGGAAATAAGTATTTGACCCCTCTGCAAAACATGACTTAGTACTTGGTGGCAAAACCCTTGTTGGCAATCACAGAGGTCAGACGTTTCTTGTAGTTGGCCACCAGGTTTGCACACATCTCAGGAGGGATTTTGTCCCACTCCTCTTTGCAGATCTTTACACTATCGTACTGTGTTAATTTCAATTGGCTGTCATGTGAATTGCATTAATCGTCAATACTTCTCAAGAGAACATTGATAAGCAAGGCATATGCTTCAAGGCTGCTGACATAAATTGCCTGTTACCCAGCTCAACAGATGTTTCCATGGCAGCAGAATGCAGTTGTTCAAGGTGCCCTGCAACACACTGCACGGATCGATGTAATAATCAAATGTGGTCTTGGAGCTGCGATGACATGTTGGGATGGACACCTCTGGCTGCTTACACAGAATCAGCTAGTGGCTGGCCAGGTTAATAGAAACGGGCCTCGTAAGCAGCGCCGGATAATGAGCCTTAGGCCTTCATATTTTGCAGGCCCTCCATGTCACATTGAAGTAACAGCTAAGTGACGGTATGCACCGCCATCGGGCATTTTTTAAATCTTCGAATTACGATCACATCATTCGTGATTTTGTCACAGCTAAAACTATGGGGGGGGGGGGGGGAACGTTTGAAGAAATTAGTCAAGTGAGTCATTTATGTTTGATACATTTCATGAAAAAAATTCTAAGTGTAAAACATTCGCTCCTAATTAGCCTTAGGCCTCTGATAATCTGAATCCGGCCCTGCTCGTAAGTCATAGTATTAGTGCCTCCATGCTCAAACACAGCAATGGGCAGTGCTCATCTCAATCAACAACAACAATAACCGCCATTCGCCACTAAGTGGCGGTGACGTCACCACGACGCTTGTGCCAGGCCATGTGCACCTTGAGGCCACGTGAAGTGTCGAACGCCCGCTGGCAGGAGGTCACGGGGCAGACCCAAGTGCTACGGGTCAACTGACTAAGATGACTGAGATGACTGGCTGATCC